CGGTTAACTCATCGAACCCAACCCACTTAGCCTTGCCGAACCTAACCCGGGAAAAAAAATGGAAAAAAACCAACCCAACCCGGTCGGGTTGGTTCTGGTTGGTCGGGTTCGTCGGGTTAGTTCGATTTTTGCCCACCCCTAATTATAGATCAAAGTGTTGATATGAAAAACTTCTTGAAAAACTAAAGATTTTCACAAAGTTAATCACTCAAAAGTTTTTCAAGAGTTTAATGGCTTTGATTTTCTTAAAGATGGAGAATAGAGTAGTTGTGATCAATAAAAGTCTCACTATAATGCTCAAGAATGGTTAATGCAAGTGAATGAATAGAAGGGTATTTATAGCACACAAACGGTCAAAAGCTCTGCCGTACAGAAGACACTATACCGGACGTCCAGTAAAATACCGGATGGTCAACTAGCCGTTGTTTTTGTCAGAAAATTGGACCGTTTGAAAAATGACCATTGGAGCCATTTTGGGCATATCGGACGTCCGATATGCGTACCTCCACTTTTGGCCATACTGGACGTCCACTTTTGGCTCGGAACGTCCTCGTTTCTTATTTTCATCAAATGTAGATACTCGAGGGATGTTTTAAAATATTTTTCAAAGTGTTGTTATGTTTTAAACATACATGTTTCGATTTTTACCTTTGAAAACATATGTTTAGAGTAAAAACATTTTTGTCGTGATTTTTCGATCGTAAATTTAAAAACTTTGAGCTCCTCATGATTCATTACCAAGTATTGAAATGTTTTACATTTACATATGATAAGTCTAAGTACTTTGTTTTGAACATTTTGGCTTGCGCTTCTTGACGGTACTTTGACTTTTGTCTTGATTCGCGTTGAGGCATCTTTTTACAAGTTTTTGCAATATCATTTTTCATCGTCTCGATTGATTTTGTTTCCCCGTTGGCCATTGTATGAAAATTACTTGGCCTCGAACTTTGTGCCATCAATTATATTCATCTGCGTTAATCACTATGGACACTTAAGATCAATTTGTTAGTAATAGATATAATTTGTTTGTGATAATCAAAACGAGACATCAACCATATGTCAACGAAGATTAGTGACATCTCATGCAATTAAAATATAGTGTAATCACTACATATTAAAAGAGTCAAAGTAAAGGCGGATACGTATCGTCATTTCCAATCGTCGTCAAAAATCCTCACTATAATGCTCAAGAATGGTTAATGCAAGTGAATGAATAGTGAGGTATTTATAGCACACAAACGGTCAAAAGCTCTGCCGTGCCGAACACACTATACCGGACGTCCAGTAAAATACCAGATGGTCAACTAGCCGTTGTTTTTGTCACAAAATTGGACCGTTTGAAAAATGACCATTGGAGCCATTTTGGGCATATCGGACGTCCAGTATGCGTACCTCCACTTTTGGCCATACCTGACGTCCACTTTTGGCTCGGAATGTCCTCGTTTCTTATTTTCATCAAATGTAGGTACTCGAGGGATGTTTTAAAATATTTTTCAAAGTATTATTATGTTTTTAACATACATGGTTCGATTTTTACCTTTGAAAACATATTTTTAGAGCAAAAACATTTTTGTCGTGATTTTTCGATCGTAAATGTAAAAACTTTGAGCTCGTCACGATTCATTACCAAGTCTTGAAATGTTTCACCTTTACATNTGTGATAAGTCTAAGTACTTTGTTTTGAACATCTTGGCTTGCGCTTCTTGACGGTACTTTGACTTTTGTCTCGATTCGCGTTGAGGCATCTTTTTACAAGTTTTTGCAATATCATTTTTCATCGTCTCGATTGATTTTGTTTCCACGTTGGCCATTGTATGAAAATTACTTGGCCTCGAACTTTGTGCTATCAATTATATTCATCTGCGTTAATCACTATGGACACTTGAGATCAATTTGTTAGTAGTAGATATAATTTGTCTGTGACAATCAAAACGAGACATCAACCATATGTCAACAAAGATTAGTGACATTTCATGCAATTAAAATATAGTGTAATCACTACATATTAAAAGAGTCAAAGTAAAGGCGGACACGTGTCATCATTTCCAATCGTCTTCAAAAATCCTCCCTCCCCCCTTCTTTTTTATTCCTTGAAATTCGTCAAAATTTTCCTCACGTCCATTTCTACTTCTCCATTATCTCACGCAACCACTCACTCCTCCTCCATTTTCCCACACAACCTCCCATTGTAAACTTCTCATTCCTTTCCATTTGCAAGGCTAATGCTATCAAACAATAGATTTTTTGCTCCTAGAAGAATTTGACAAACTCGTGCAGTTGGAATACGCCTCAAGTTTGGATTATATTTTCCCCATTTCTTCGTGTCATTATATAGTCGTTCATTTATATTAATTCTTCTTCGAATCCTTTGGAGCTTTAACCTGACTCAGCCTCTTCGTCTTCTTCCTTTTTCGCCTCCTCTTTGCTATAACCAGTAGTTTTTGTTGTCACATTCCTGACTGGTTTCTTCTTCTGGGTTTTGTTTTCGACTGAATTTGCAAGCTTTTTCACTTTCTCTGAAGGGGAGATTGAGTTTTTCACTTTAACAATCTTATCTGATTTCGCGAACCTTTTCAACTGGGCCGAGAGAATTTTCTTGATTTGGAGGTTGGAATTTAATGGGTTTTGTGAGATGTGAATATATATAATGAACTTTATGTTTGACTGCGTGGATTGAGTCTTAAAATTGAGATCGATACTTTAGATTAGAACTTGAGTATGGGGATTGGATGATTTTGTTGGGTTAATAATTCACTTTTTTATATGGATTGTGAAGATTTCGTTGGCTTATTTAATCAAATTTGTTTAGTTGAAAAAAATGTTATGGGTAGCATTGTAAAAAAACAAAATCGTGCACGGAAGCACACGGAGGCAGGTGAATAATTCACCTTTTTATATAGATTGTGAAGATTTCGTTGGCTTATTTAATCAAATTTGTTTAGTTGAAAAAAATGTTATTGGTAGCATTGTAAAAAAAAAAAAAAAAATTCGTGCTCAGAGGCGCACAGAGAATTTTTTTTTTTTAATACCAATAACAATGTTTCTTAAGGCAATTAACAAATTTTTTTTTAAGTCATTTTTTTTTTTTTTTACATTGCTACCAATAACAATGTTTTTTTCACTCACATTCTAAACCATATGTAAGTCAATTTCCTTATAATTGGTTACTACCTACATAAAGTGTACTATCTTCTGCAAATTTATTGTATTTTTAACCTTTCCGACTAAACTTTGTTTCCCAAAAGAAATATGAAGTTCGAAAGCATATGACACTCTCATTTTTAGTTCCTGTAAATGTTACAACTAGAAGCTTAAGGTGGACAGATTCATATGGAGGTTTAATACGTGTAATATCAGCAGTCGAGAGGTCTTCAACAAATAACAATGCCTCCCCAGATACATCCCCTGAAAGAGAAAGTGTCAACATCTGTATATGTTAGTAATTCTTTTAAATGTTGAATCCAATATTAATATCCATATTCAGTGAACCACATTTCACTTACGTGGTTAGACATATTAGCAATGGAAAGCACTATACTTAAATTTCGAAATGACTTTCATTACATTGTTCTTTTTCAAGGAACATTCATTTCGTTGGTATATGTTTGTGTTTAGCAGTGGTTCTTTTCCTTCTGATAAATTGTAAATTTTGAGCTTGTGATTGCTTGTGTAGTGAATTAAATTACTTATTCTATTATCTCAAACTTGAAACATTCCCTTCCTAATGGTATAATCTATCTGTTTATATCAATTTTTATTTTCTTTATTTTCTTTATTTTGTCAAATTATTTTATTGATTATTTATAATATTTTCAGTTGCATAATGAAATCATAATGAGCTTCAATTAACATGGACTCATTCCAATTATCAGTTTATGAATAAATCACCATACAAATCTTAAAAATATTTTATGACGTAATTCAGGAGGTTCTTTTATGATTTTCATTAAATCTAGAAGATTGCAATTTCTTAAGTCTTCCCCTGTGAATTTATCTAAATCTCACCCATGTTAATGACATGTTAATATTTATTTGTGTTTCTGATTTCTTAATTATAAACATGTTCCCATTTTAAAATTTTTATTAGATTAATTCATTAATGTTGGAAATTTTCAGTGCCCAACTACAATATGACCTATAGTTCGATGCTTTCTTGACCTTAACGTTAATCCTGTTTTGAATATGTGAGAACCATTATGTTACACATTTAAGATACTTGCATCAGTTAACAGCTGAATTTTATTTGACTTGGCTACCTTGCTTCTCGTTTGAATCCAACCTTGCAGTAACAACGTTTAGCTGATTTATTTAATCTCTCATAATTTATCTTTAATTTTAGCATTTTGTTCTTTTGTAGGAAGAACTCCAGCTTGCACTATGCAGAGCTCCTTATGATGAGAACCTATTTTTGGATCGGGTAATGATTTTCACAATCTTAATGCATCTTCTATATTGATTTTGACACCCAGTTTTCCAAGTCATGATTTCAATTAAATGTTTCCCAAAGATGCATCTAATNATTTATCTAAATCTCACCCATGTTAATGACATGTTAATATTTATTTGTGTTTCTGATTTCTTAATTATAAACATGTTCCCATTTTAAAATTTTTATTAGATTAATTCATTAATGTTGGAAATTTTCAGTGCCCAACTACAATATGACCTATAGTTCGATGCTTTCTTGACCTTAACGTTAATCCTGTTTTGAATATGTGAGAACCTTTATGTTACATATTTAAGATACTTGCATCAGTTAACAACTGAATTTTACTTGACTTGGTTGCCTTTCTTTTTGTTTGAATCCAACCTTGTTGTAACAATGGTTAGCCGATTTATTTAGTCTCTCATAATTTATCTTTAATTTTAGTACTTTGTTCTTTTGTAGGAAGAACTCCAACTTACACTATGCAAAGCTCCTTATGATGAGAACCTATTTTTGGATCGGGTAATGATTTTCACAATCTTAATGTTCTTCTATATTGGTTTTAACACCCACCTTTCCAAGTCATGATTTCAATTAAATGTTACCCAAAGATGCATCTACTACCTTGTGGAAACAATGTTCCTTCAATGCACACGGTGTGCTCCATGTGGGAATTTATTTTTTCTTTCATCTAGATGTAAAAGTTTGTCATAGTTTCTCACCCTTTACTCGGAGTTGGAAAGAGATAGTTACTATATGGAGAAGATTTATAGCATTTTCCACGTTCACTTTTGCCATTAGTTAAATTGGCATGATTTTTTCTTAGAGAATTTGATTCAACAAATTGTAAATGCTATCAATCTTATCTCTCTTTTCAAACTTACCTAGCTTTGTCTATAGTGAAGTGGTATTTAGAAGTTCCCATATGAATCTAATCATACATCTTCACTATACTAATATTATTTGTTTCTTGTTGAAGGTGTCTAGATACAAATTCTCTATTTATAATGTAGATCGTGGGTACCATTCAGTTGAAATGTAACTGTAAGTACAAGTTAAATAATGAGTTCATTTTCAACGGAGAAATTTTCATTTTGTATATCCCTTATGTCGTACTTAGTTTTTTTTTTCTTTAGCTGGTTGGTGATTGATGTTTGAAGCAAAGAATGCTTCGCTCTCCTGTTGAACTACTTTTAATGCTTGATACTGATTGAGCAACCAAAGTGAGTATCTTCAAAAACTTGAAAATAAGATTCGTACCCGCTTTGATTATAAAACATGTATCATAAAAATCTTATTTATGTTGTAGAATCTTCTATTTTAAGATGTCAAATTTTAGAATTTGGAAACTAAGAGCTCAATTTTTCTACAGTATATAATGATTTGTCTCTCATATTCATGCAGTTGTTAAGAAGAAATGCAAGTTTGGAGACTCTGCAGCCAATGATTCAACTTTAAGAATTTCGGACATACCAATTTCTGCCTTCTATTCTCGCGCTCATCTTGAAGAAAACGTTCTAGCAACAGTTGAGTGTTAATTCTATGTGTCACCTTTTGCATATAACCCCAAGACTTCAATCTCATTTTTTAGTAAAAATTATCCGAATGTATTTTTTATAAATGATTATAGTCGATATTATATGTATATTTTTTTTGTGACTTAACAATATCTTTTTCAGCAAAACTGTATAGAAATCTCAGTATTTTCAATCTCTAACTGCTTGATGATTGGATATGTTGTTTTTGAGAGTTGGTAGTTAGATTATATGATTAAAAATGACACAAAAATATCAATCAAAGTTCTCATCATTAGAAGTTTAAACTAATGTAATTAAGTTCCTAACACAAACAACTTAAATCTAAACAAATAACTAGCTACAATGTGCCAAGTATGAGTAATTAACTTCATTTAAGCTCCTAAAACATTTACAACCTAATATAAAAGAAAATCATTAAATCGTTGATTATATTTAGTTAAGAATACATTTGTGATGAAACGTTCAATACGTTTAATACCAAATGTTCATATGGAAAATCGAAAAGATACAAAAAAAACTTATGAATATCTTTCATGTTTACAAATGAATTCCTCTAAAATTTACATGTATTTATTTTCAACATTAAACAACTAACTAACGTGCAACGCACGTTAACCACACTAGTTATTTTTAAAAAATGTGATGTCAATGACTCAATATAGCCACCATTTAGCATAACGTAAACCCTACTCAATTCAGTTAAAATTTCATCGAATGTGATCATTGATGTGATTTAGGGTGTGTTTGATGGATATTATTGAGGAAAAAATGTATTTTAAATAGTGATATGATGGGAAATATGTTTTTAAAAAGTAAGGAAAAGTTATTGATATTATGGAAAATATTATTTTATTGAAAAACGTGTGGTTGAAAATGAGTTTTGAAAGAATATTTTTTTAAAAAAAAGTGTGTCAAACGGGAGCTTAGAGTAAATTTAGGGGTTTGAAAACATCCCAAAATCTCTCAGCTTCCTTTTGTGAAGGATTGGATAGTAAATATCAATTACTCAGTTTAAAATTTCGATTGTGCTACATGTAAATTATAATTTACGATTCGTGTATACACTTTATATGCACATGATGTGGTAAAATATGATTAGATCAAAATTTCTTTAACCAAATAAAATATTAAAAAAATTTCACTCTCTTTTTGACACCTCCTCGTCTATTAGTAAATTTTTTTTGTAATTATTTATGTACATGTAAAATTATTCTTAAAATTCAGTGTTTATCAACATAATTGTAAAATAGCACTTAGCTAATTCTTTAAAAAAAAAAAAAAATCAGCATGGGAGCTAATTATCCTTTTTTTTTTTTTTCTTTTTTTGGGGTTTTAATGCCCCCCCTCCTTTGCATAACGCCTACCGAATAAGAAGGCGAAGTAAGCAAGAAGAAAGATTACCTAAAGAACTTGCAAAGAGATAGTTAAGACAAAAATTGTAAATTGGACAAATTTTTCAAAAAGGACCTTATTTTACTAGTTATAGTGAACACAGACCACTTATAAATATTTCATTGAAAAATCCTTATGTAACAAACGTCTAATTTGCTAAGGAATCCCATCTAAGTTTTTTAGTAATGTGATCGTAATTTCTTGATTAAGAGTACAATGTGATCGTAATTTCTTAATTAAGAGTACAATGAGACGTCCCATCAATCAGTTCTATGAGATCTCCGAATCTGTTGGGGGATAACGACGGCATCAACATATGTTGAGATCAGTTCTTGGCTTATGGACACCTGGTGTAGTTGAGCTTCGATGCTTTAGTACTTCGGACATAAGGACCATCTGCATCGCACGGAAGGACTTCAAGCAGACTTTCGTGATTAGGGCTAAAGGGGACATCGGACAGTTACAGCTTCGACACTTGCATGACATCGGATGGTAGCATCTTCTGTCGTCTTTGACTATGTTGACTCCCTTGTTGACTTTTCAACTAGCTCTGTGTTCACTTGGCTATAGGGAATGCGTGGCTGAGGTGTACCTGTACTACACATGCACCGTTAGGTATACCTCACGACTGAACCTCAGAGACTAAAACTACCCATTGTTATCAGGGGGTTCAGATACGTACCAATAAGTACATTAGGTACCTGAAAGTTTACAGTACATTAAAGAACTTCCTTTCTCCTAGATTCGAAACATCTGGAAGGATGGTCGTAAATGGCTTCACTAAGTGGAACGCTCAAACCAAAGATCAAGATAGTGCTTTCTTTTCGGAGGTTAGGAGTGTTTACCGTTGACAAAATAGCCTCGGTTGATAATTAAGAGGAGTGTTATTTGAATAATGATTTGTTTAGAAATACAAGGAGTTCTCGGTGATGGCCTTTCAATGATTTGATGATGTTGGCTATTTCCAAGAAAAGGTAATCAAGATGGCACAATTCACCGTACGTGCCGCAGCTGCCTCATTAAATGAGTAATCATGGCTGTCTTTTTTTATTTGAATAATGATTTGTTTAG